TACACGGGCATGTGCGGACTGCATGCGAGTCATTTTCCTGCCCGCCCCACCCCGCAGTGCACACGTGCACAGCGCATGCTCGGGAGCGCAAAGCGCGGTGGGAAATGTAGTTGTTCCCCCCCCCCATATCCGCACACATTTCCTAGCCTCCATTTTCTCGTCTCCGCTGGTCAAACGGCGCACGCGCACATCTCCCCCTCCTTTGTCGCGGTATCCCAGGCGGAATTGTCATTGCTTGCCCCGCCTCAGTTCCCGTCTCCGATTGGTTCGCACCGCAAAGCGGCGGGCGGGGCGGGACTCGACTGGCTGGCCGGGATGTCAGTCTGCGCTGGGTGACTTGGATTGATGCAGTTGCCTGGCGGTGGTTGTGCTACGGGGTCGGGGATGCGGATACCGACCCTCGCACTGTGGCAGTTCCGTGGGACGCCGTGCTTGTCAGCTGGGCGGTCAAGGGGGCGGGGAATTGAAGCAGCAGCAGCGTTGCAGGCTCTTGCCTCCCGCGGGAGTGATTGCTCGGGACAGTGCAGCTGCAGAAAGTTTGTAGCAGTGACCCCCGGTGCAACAGCACCACGCAACTCTCGGGGATGCGGATACCGACCCTCGCACTGTGGCAGTTCCGTGGGACGCCGTGCTTGTCAGCTGGGCGGTCAAGGGGGCGGGGAATTGAAGCAGCAGCAGCGTTGCAGGCTCTTGCCTCCCGCGGGAGTGATTGCTCGGGACAGTGCAGCTGCAGAAAGTTTGTAGCAGTGACCCCCGGTGCAACAGCACCACGCAACTCAGCACGTCATTTACAAACTCTTCTGCTGTTGCTTCAGCCCCACCTCTTGCTCTTAAACGTGAGTACGGAGAGAGGAGGTGCAGAGATAATGAATATGCACATGAGCGTTACTGCTGCTGTTGGGGGAAGGGGGGGAGAAGGGTCAGTGTGTATAGGGGAGGGGTGCGCATGCGCGGTGCGTGGCGGGGCTGAATGTTTCCCAAGTGTTTGAAACTGGTATTTGGGTTTTCCACGTTGGATCAAGTGCGGCGTATAGAGCGAGGGGAGGCTGCATTAATAGAGCCGGGGAGCAGCGGCAAGAAGAGCGTGGAAGGAGAGAGGAGAAAAGCAGCGCACAGACCCGCGGAGGAGCTGCTGCTTCTGTCAGACACTTTCCAGAGCAGATTTTGTTTCCAGAGTGTTTCGGAGGATCCGGTTTGCGCCCCCCTCCCTCCCCCTTCGCACACACAAATCCCTCTGATTGTTCCTACCACCTCCTTCGTGAGTTACCCACAACGACAGCCATTCAATCAGCTGCTGCTGGCGGTGGGGACTAAGCGGCGGGTGCGTGTTTCTCGCTCTCTCGGCTTTTACAAGAGAGGAGTCAGATGTAGCTTCTCTCGGTTTTGGGGAGCTCCAGAGAGAGGAGGGCAGAGAGCGAGCCGTGCATTGGGGTCTGTCGTCTTTGGAGCGAGCAGCGCTCGCTCTCGCACAGAAGGGGGAAAAGGGGGAGGAAGACTGTTTGTCTTGCCGGATGAAAATGTTGAGTCCTGCAAACGGAGAGCAGCTTCATCTCGTGAACTATGTGGAGGATTATCTGGACTCCATCGAGTCTCTGCCCTTCGATCTGCAGAGAAATGTCTCCCTGATGAGGGAAATTGACGCCAAATATCAAGGTAAGTGCTTTCTTGTGTGTGTGGTGCTGGGTTAGGCTTGTCTTTCCTTCGTAGCTGAGTCCTGGCACCCTTTGCCTGTCCCCCCCCTCCTGCAGGGGTGGTAGTTTTATTTTGGGGAGGAGGGAGAAAGCACGGAAAGAGAGCCTAGAAGAAGGGAAAGCGGCTGATCTGCAGTGTTAGTTCTTGTCATGGGGCGGAACAAAAGGTCTCCGGCTTCTCTTATTAAACAAGGACTCTGTTTTTCAGTGTAAAATACTGGACAAAAAGACGGTGAGTAGGAAAGCGGTCTGTGGGAGTAGGAAAGCTATTTCTGGGTGTGTAGTTGTGTGGAGGGGAAGATTTTGTAGGTACTGGGGAAAGTGCTGGGTGGACAGAGGGAGAGATTATAGCACAACAACATTTAGGAATGTACAGTATTCATTATGGCTGTAGTAAGGGAGAGAGGCTGATAGGGAAGGAGGGGGGATGAGGTGTAGATGCGAGTGGGGGGCAGGGTCTGCTTTCTTCTGTCTTTTTAATGAGGGCGCGTTTCACCCTGTTAAACACCCCCCCTTGTGTGAGGAGGGGAAAAGAGGAGTTATATAAAATAAACGCCGGATGGGTTATGGATGAGCTGAAAGCTACGTGCTCTCTCGCGGCGTCCTGGCGGCACTCACTCTGGGGCATGCCGTCTCCTTGCCCCACGGGCGGCGGGGAGGGGAAGGAGGGGTTAGTTTGCGTGGGCTTCGGAACAGCTTTGTCACTAGCTGTGTGTGCAGGGGGGCGGGTCTGTTGGATGCTGCGGGTAGAGGTGGCACTAGAGGGGACCCCGCTGCTGGAATATGTTCCCCGTCCTGCTCTACGGGGCAGGGGGTGGCCGGTCTCTGCGGCACTTGCCGCTGATTTTCAGGCACCCCTCCCGCGCGGGCAAGACGGGTGGGAACCTCCCCCTCGAGGGTACCAGCAGTAGTGGCTACAGGGCAGGGGGGGGAAGGGAAGATTAGGGCAGAACTACAGGCGGAGGGGGGGAAACAGCGTAGGGCGGGCGCGTCTTGGCAGAGGTTGTCTCCGCGCTATGCCGGAGTCACCCTCGCAGCGTCTTTTATAGCCCTTCCTCATTAGCATATCTTGGTTCGCTCCGCCTCGCTTTATTGGCTGGGATCTGCCCCCATGGCTCAGCCTCTGTCGCTCACTGCCTGGTCGTGCTGTTCCGCCTTCTAGCTCCGCCTTCTCGTGACGTTTCCGAAGTCACAGCTTGTGGGGTTGATTTGAATATCTGGAGTCATCCCTCCCCAGGCCCCAGTTTCTGATTGGCGCCAGGGAGCTGCGCGAGGCGGGTGCAACTTTGGCTTTCTGATTATGATTGACACGTTTATGGATGGGGGAGGGGGAAGGTGTCCTCCTCCTGATTGGATTGTTGGGACAGGTGGGCGGGCTCTATCTGGGTTTTTCCCATTCGGGTTGCGCCGAGCTTTAAGGCTTTCTTATTGCGATTGGTACACTGCTCCGGAAGGGGGTGGAGTCATCGTACTCTTTATTCTGATTGGTGCGGGG